CTGAATATGACCTGTAGGCCACATCCATATCGTTGGGTAACAAGTCCGCCTTTATTTCTGTTACTGGAGCAAGTAGTTCACTCATAAGTTCTTTAAGATTCTCTCCTTTGTTCTCTGCCCCCCCCTGGAAACGCAGGACCATATTGGCCTTATCCATTTGTACTTGAAGCATTTGATCTTCCAAAGAGGAAGTTTTCTTTTCCAATTTTTGCACTTTCTTCTTCACTTTCTGCATTGATTCAGCCACTTCCTTTACTTTCTCAGCATCCTGCTTCATTACTTGAATCAAATCAGTTATTTGCGTTTGTTGCGCAGAAATGCTCTGTGTTACCACGGACATCTGCTCTTTGACGTTATTCAGCTGATCCAGTAGAGGGTGCATGAACTCAGCTATAGCCTTTGCCGTCTCACTGGTCGTTTCCGGCTTAGGGGACTCTGGTTTCGTTTTCAAAAGTCTGTCTTTGTCTTTGTCCCTCTTCCCCGCCATCTTTTTCCCGTTTGTTTACTTTCGGAAAGTTTTTAAAAGTTTCTGAATATGCGTTTGACTGCTCAGCTCGATTGGGTAAGTACTTCTGGGCAATTTAATCGCGTTTCTCTTCTGCTCCCCCCCCCTTTCGCTCAACAGTTTATGCGCATAGGAGGCGTTCCCCCCCCCGCTCGCTTTTCCCATTCCACGGAGTAGGGTAGGGGGGGTCTTTTCTTTCAAAAATCGTTTCCCAGTTGACTCACGTTCATAGTTGGCCATTCGACCACACTTCTTTCATCATTTTTCACGCCCGATCTCCTGCGCTTGCCCCGGTTAGCTTCACTTGTACCATTCGGTCTCTCGGCTGGAGGAACCACTGGAGCAAAGGGGCACCTCAATTCTCTGGCATTCCGCCATCGAAGAGGCTACCCCTCAGCTCCTTGGCCAGGGTCCCTTTGCTGGGCCCCTGGGGGGGGTTACGAGCCTGCTCACCCCCTCCCTCTGCCGGAGCACGGAGACACCCCCGGGAGGTCCGGGAGGTGAGTCCGTGAGCATGCTGCCATCAACCAGAAGTCCACATGCGGCTCTTTCACACATTGTGCAGCTCCCAGCAGGGCAACTAGGGAAGCTAAATATCATTAGCAAACAAATATAATTGAACAAATAAGTATCATTATCAATATCTGCTTTTACCTCTTTTTGTTATTATTTATGGCAGTCTCATTTAATGTTAATAAAAAGCAAATTTGCATATTTTCCAAATAAAAACATGTAATATTTGTTCATGTCTTGTGGCTGTCAAACATCTGGTGTTTATTCTATGTGGCTCTTATGTTAAGCAAGTTTGACCACTCCTGATTTATATGCAAAGTACATCATGTGAAATGCTGGCCTGGATGAATCACAGGCCAGAATTAAGATTGCCGGGAGAAACATCAACAACCTCAGATATGCAGACGATACCACTCTAATGGCAGAAAATGAAGAGGACCTAAAGAACCTCTTGCTGATAGTGAAAGAGGAGAGCGCAAAAGTTGGCTTGAAACTCGACATCAAAAAACTAAGATCATGGCATCCGGCCCCATCACTCCTTGGCAAATAGAAGGGGAAGTCGTGGAAGTAGTGACAGACAAAGGATGAGATGGTTAGACAGTGTTATCAATGCAACGAACATGAAGTTGAGCAAACTCCGGAGGAGAGTGGAAGACAGGAGGGCCTGGCATAATGTGGTTCATGGAGTCGCAAAGAGTCGGACTCGACTATGCGACTGAACAACAACAACAAAGCTCAGGCTGAAAGTTTGGGTGGGTTTTACTAACATGGGCTTATGTTTGCTTTTGTATAGTCTTATTCTTGTAATTTTAGTTATTTTAAATATATTTTTGCTGCTTTATTTATATTGGCTGCATTGCATTTTTCACAAAAATATTATTAGATTGGCAGATAAAGCTATAGCAAACTTCTTCCCATTGCGTAAATACGCAATGACATGCTGATTAATTAGAATGGAATATGCTGTCTTATTAGCTATAATATCTCTTTGTCTATGTGTCTTATTTTAAAGCTGCTCCTTACTGGCTGGATGAACCAGAAAATCTCGTTTTGGCTCCCGGTGAGGGTGGGAGACTTATTTGTCGAGCCAATGGTAACCCCAAGCCTTCAATCCAGTGGCTGGTGAATGGAGAACCTATAGAAAGTAAGCATTTCTATTATGAACAGACAATAATGGCTTACAACCCTTATAATGTGTTTTATGAATTCATGATTCTGGATAAGAATACACAGATGTTATCAGTAATGATGGTATTAGTAATGACCGCATGAGCTATGATGAATTAAAAGGAACATGGAATTTTTCATGAAAAAGTTGGGAGCCCATGAGAAGTCACAGAGGGATAAGTGACTGGGAAATTTCCCCCTTATCTACAACTTCCCCTCCAGGATACTGTAAACGCTTCGGAAGTTCAGCAGTCTTATCTTTCCATCCCTTCCATTTCCTTCTTTTCTCCCAGCTTACTACACTCTGCTGTTCTCTATGGGTAATGAACATGCTCATTGTGGTGGGGGGTTGCTTCTTCTTAATTTACAAACTGATATTTCTCTTCATCTCTGCAGTGTCCCTAGGATAGAAATATATCCCTGTTCAATTTTCCCTCTTAGCTGTCAACTGTTGTGAGCAAAAATTCTATGTCGTGAGCCAAAAAAATCTATGAGCATAAAAGTTGTGAGTGAGCCTAAATTGTGGGGGGATTTTTAAAATTTCACTTTACAAATATACAAAACATAGAAACATGAAGAAATGGAAAGACCCGGGAAAGAAAGAAATTGAAAGAAAGAAATTGAGGGAAAGGAAAGGAAACAAAGAAAGGGAAAGAAAGAGAAAGAAAGAAATGGGGGAAAGGGGAAGGAAGGAAGAAATGAAAGGGAAAGAAAGAAAGGGGAAAGGGAAAGAAATGGGGGAAAGGGAAAGAAAGAAAGAGAGAGAGGGAAAGCCTCTGTGCATGTTTGCTTCCCCCCAAGTTCCAAATCCCCCCCAGCAGCAGTTAAAAAGGAGCCTGAAGGCTTACATTTGTAATGTCCCACTTTGGCTGTGGGTTCCCAGGCTAGAGTACTCACTCAGCCACCTGTTCTCAGGTCCATTCAGCATATATAAAACAAAACAAGAGCTCCACCCAAAAGGACCAAACTAAATCACTCATATATTAGGGGGAAAGCAGACTGTTCCATCACATATATACATGTATACAGTGAATATACCACAACATTACAAGAGCAAGACCCTTTGGGGGGAGCGAGAGACCAAGAAATCTAATAAATAAAACCAACTGAAAGCAGCAGGGGGGAGGAGAGATGGGCCTCCTCCAGTATAAACCATGTGCAAAGGATTAATGCAGCAAACATGGATTAAAGACTACAGCTAGGGAAGCACTGGGATCGCTGCCTTTCTACTCTGAGATGAAATACATGGTGGGGGTTTGGGGAGGGGAGAAAAGGTAGGGATGAACATAAAAAGCAATCTGAAAAGGGGGGATATTAAAATGCATGATGCGGTCGGAGGAGAAGAAAAAAGACAGAAAAGGCTTGGAAATGGGAGAGAACATCAAAAGGCATTAGGGTTGCCAGGTCTAGGTTGAGAAATACCTGGAGATTTCAGAGGTGGAATCTGAGGAGGGAGGGATTTGGGGAGGGGAGGGACTTCAATGAGGTATAGTGCCATAGAGTCCACCTTCAAAAGCAGCCATTTTGTCCAGGTGAACTGATCTCTGTCACCTGGAGATCAGCTGAAATAGCGGGAGATCTCCAGCAACCACCTGGAGGTTGGTAACCCTAAAAGGCATAGTTGGGGGGATATAAATTTGGGGAGAGTAGCACAAAAACCACGGACGGGTTGCCCCCCCCGGCTCCTGCAGAGGCAGCCGTACCACCAACTCAACCCCCTCCCTGCATTTCCATGTGTGTGTGGGGGGCTGATTAAAAAACCTGCTCTCCTTCCTGCGATGCCTTTGCTGGTCATACTAAAAGAAGCTCCCCGCCACTTGCTCTGAAATCAAACCGGACTCCCCCTCCCCCCACTTACGCAAACACTGAAGTCCCAGACCTGGGCTACAGGGCCCAGCCCCCAGGGATGCCTCTTGCCTGCCTGAAGCAGTAGGGAAGGAAAGGGAAAGGAGCCCCACCAACACACACCGCAGGCATTTCTCAGTCTTCTCCCCTGCTCACTTGGAAATCAGACCGGACCTCCCTCCCACTCACTCTCCTACATACACACTGAAGGGAAGGGAAAAGAGCCCCCTGCAACCACACCACAGGTGTTTCTCTCCCCCCCCCGTTTGCTTGGAAATCAGACTGGACTCCCTGCCCACTCTCTCTCACAAACACACTGATGCACCAGGCCTGCGCCACAGAGCCCAGGGGATGCCTCTTGTCCACCAAAAGCAGCAGGGAAGGAAAAGGAACACACACACCCCCAACATACACCACAGGCATTTCTCTCTCCCTCCTCCACCCCAGATACAGCACGAGGTGCTTCCTTCAGCCCCTGCCCACTCTCTTCCCTTGGTGTTGTGTGCTCTGAACTCACCCACCTCAGCCTCCATTAATAAATACACCTTACGAGTCCCCAGCACAAGGAGAACAGTAGCTGCTTTTCATTTTTTTTCCTCTCTCCTCCTGCCTTGCCATGTGGAAAAGCCCTTTTCCAGAGGACCTGCAAACTTTTGCCTGCCTCATCTGGCCTGCCTCTCATTCCTCCCTTCTGCCCATCCTCCTGCTCCAGGAAAGCCTATGGGCAAGCACGGGGGTGGGAAGGGACAGGAAGAGAGCAAGAGAGAAAGACAGCAGTCCTCTTGGAACCCAGGCAAAAGCCACAGCAGCCCAGCATCCTTGGCAGGTAGGATTCCTTGGTGCCCTGCGCTGGGGGGAAAATCACTGTGCTACAATTTGAAAATTGGTGCGCTAGCACATGATAGCACAACTTAGCGTGAACCCTGCCCCCGTTTCTTCTATGAGCAGCCTTATTTTGCTGATAGACACACATCTATGAGGAAATATTCTGTTAATTCCTGAGTACTAGATTCAGTTCCCTTTTCTGTTGCAGTTTGTTTTACCCTGTTTAGGACACTTGGATGGGGGCTTTTTGCATGTTAACTTGATGTAGCCATAAGTAGACATATGGATTAGTTTGTACCAATTGCTACCCTTGAAGAATAGTTGACCATTAGAATTTCAATCATTACTGTGGGAAATTTAATATTCTATTGCATAGCCTACTGTGTAGCTTCCCTTACAGGTCTTCTCTCAATTCCTTACCTTCCTTCATATTATCTCATGCTTCTGTCTTGTGTTCAGTGCAGTACTTTGCAGTATTCTGAATTCTGCAAAGGGCTTGTCCAGGATCATGAGTCCATACAGTGAGAATTCTAGTGACATTTCCCCCCTAAATATATAACATCTGTAATAAATCACAGAAATGGGGTGGTAGTGGTTGTCTGTTGAAGTGGGCTTGATGACATGTACTAGTAGCTCAATTTAAAGTGCTGGTGTTTATCTTTAAAGACCTAAATAATAAAGTACCTGAAGGACTGACTGCCTTCACCCATATGTATAAGAAAGACGGCATACTCCCTTATGAATCTGCCCTACCACTACAGTCATCTCAGGGAGCCCTGCTTCTTATGTCCCTGCCTCCTGAGATTAGGCAGATAGCAACCCAGAAGAGGGCCTTCTCAATCATGGCACCAAAACTCTGGAATTATCTCCTCAGAGAGATTTGTCTGTTCCCCTCTGTTGCCACCAGTGGGTGAAGACTTTTTTGTTTCATTTGGCATTCCCTCAGTGGTCCCTCTTTCTTGACCAATGTTGTAATTGTTGTTTTTATGACTGGTAGTTTAGCTCTGTTTTTAATTGTTTTAATGATTAGGGGGGAGTGGTTTCAAAATGTGATTTTATTATGTAGGCGTTAATTTGTTAACCACCTTGGTGACCATTTTGAGGGATATAAGGCAGAAAGGAGGGATATAAATTCCCTAAAATATCTGCTTGGTACATGAGATTGGCCAGTAAGACTCTGCTGCAGAAGTCAGCAATATCAAGAGTGAGATTTGGTGAGCAGCCTTTTCAGCAGTGCCCCCTAAAGCAGTGCCCCCTTCCCCTATTATAGAATTCCCTCCCTTCTAGGGCTGCCAAGTGGGGGCGGGTGGCGGGTAAACCCCCACTTTGGAGGCCTGATTTCCACCGCCGTGGAATCGGGCCCCAGGGGGTACTCCGCCCCCCAAAGCGCAGCGTGGTCGTGTCACTGGAGGTGACGCAACCACGTCGCTCACGTTGGGGCCGTGGCCCCGATCGTCGGAGGGAAAACCCAATGTGAGCCACGGCCCCAACGTGAGCGATGTAGTGCGTCACTTCTTGTGACGTGCTGGCGGTGCGCGCGCATCGCCGGAGAGCTCCCGGAGCCCAGCGAGGCTCCACCACCGCCAAGGTAAGTAGACTTGGCAACCCTACTCCCTTCAGAGGCACATATGTCTTTTTGTTGGTCTTCCAGCAGAATTTTCTGAGAGGCTTTTTAGTGTTATCTTTTGGTGCTTTGAGTTTTTATAGATTTTTAGACTGCTTTGATTCTTTAGATCATGTTATTTTATATTGTTTTTTATATTGTTGTTTATTTAATCTTGTTTTAAGATGCTGCTGTCTATATGTGGGATTTTATATTTATAGCCAGTTTTTTAATTTTGATAACTTAGGTATCTGCTACTTTTAATGATGGTTGTATGGATTAATTTGTTACTGTTTTTATAGGGATTGTTCTTTAGCTGTTTCAGTGTGAGGTGCCTTGATTATTCTTTTTTGGAATAGAAGTACAAGATAACATGTTTGCTAAATAAATTAATATCTGCCTCAAAGGTTCTCTTCCTAATCCAAGCCGTGAAGTCAATGGAGACACTGTTATGTTCCGGGATGCCCAGATTGGCAGCAGTGCTGTGTACCAATGCAACGCTTCCAATGAACATGGATACCTGTTGGCCAATGCCTTTGTCAGTGTATTAGGTGAGTATTACATAGGATAATTAACTTTCTGATTTCTGTACATTATGTACTGTTTTTAGGAAGTGTTACCATGATTTCATAGCATTTCTAATTATCCTTGCTTTGAAGTGGTCATAAATTCATGATTTCCCTTCCCCTGAAAAACTAACATCCTTGATCACTCACTGATTAAATTCAGGGGGGAAGGATAGAGTATATGTAACTATGTGTGTTTATTCATGTATTTCTCCCCTAGGCAAAAGTAACATTTTGATTTCAGTCCCAAAAAGTTGAGAGATAATTCAAACATGCTTTTGTAGTACAGGGAGCAGGGGGTATTCCTCTGTTTTTACTGCTGTCCTGTGTACATGAAGAAACAAAAATGGATAATTCCCCAACCCAGAAACATTTGGCATGGAAAATGGTGGCCGGGGGGATGGGATGGGACAGGAGTAGAGTTCCAAGCCCAAATGGGCTCTTGTTTATTTTTTAACAGACATTCCCACAGCTGCTGTGTGGCTGCAGGGAAACAGAGTTGTATCTTGGAAACTTGGATTCAACTCTTTAAAAAAGACAGCAAGTCTGCTTTGGCCCACACTCCTCCTTCAACCACATCCTAAGGAACAAAGGATCAACAATTGCAGAATATTTAGTTTCCACATCAGAATTTCCTCTTTTATAATTCATGACAAAGTAACCCACCTACTCATGTCTATAATTGCATAGAGTGTGCCAAATGTACATATTTCTTATAAACCTCTTTGCTGCAAGTGTTATATAATAATAATATAATGCATGTATGCCCATTTGATTTGAAAATTAACCCAATAATTATGAAAGGGGATAAACTAAGATTTCTTCTTCCTTAAATCTCCAGCATCCAGCTGTTTCTGTAGATAGGCAAGGACAGAGTCTTCCTTGCATAGGATGATTTTAGAAAGTAGTGAATGCCTAATCAATAAGGAAATACAGTATTGTAAATGACAAAAGGATACTTGCTGTATGCATAATGAAGATACATGGTTCAAGTTGCAATGATAGGTGACCAGGCTTATGAGAACAGGCATTGAGCTAAAAGCTGAGAAATATAGTAGAAGTTAAACTCAGTGGGGGGGGGGTCAGTTTACAAGGTTTAGAAGGTCAAGGGAGTCCAAAGGTTGCTTGAACTTCAAACAGAAATGAATGAAAGCTTTTTTGGGGGGGGGAGTGATGCATGATTCCAAGAACAGACTTCAAATATATGAAACCTTACCTATTCTGCATTTTTTCTTGATTTGTACTAGCTCCACTTCTAAAATGGCTTTTTGAAAGAAAATCCATCATTGAAAATCATCCCCCAAACCCAAATAAGTATGCCAAAAATGGATTGCAACCCTAGATGTGAAAATAGTAGTGTATAATTTTCCAGTGTTTTATATACAAACATATAACTTCTGGCTGGCTTTACAGGCAACATTTTGTTGTCTTTTTAAGATGTTTCTCCTCGTATCCTTGCTCCTCGTAGCCAGCCGATGAAAGTGATTCAGAACAACAGGACTCTTCTGGACTGTCCATTCTTTGGGTCCCCAATCCCTACAGCACGGTGGTAAGACTTGTTACTGATTTCCACAGCATTGTTTCCAGAAGAACATGCCCTGTGTTTTTTTCCTCTCTTACAAGTGCTTTCTTGTGTTGTTGTGAGGTTCAAGAATGGCCAGGGAAACACTCTAGATGGTGGAAACTATAGGATGTATGAGAATGGGACTTTGGAAATTAAAATGGCTCGAAAAGAAGACCAAGGAACATACACGTGTGTGGCCACTAATATTCTGGGCAAAGCAGAGATCCAGGTTCGCCTGGAAGTCAAAGGTAAGATGGCTGGTGTTTTCACAAAGAGCCAGCATTCTTCATTTACAATGGAACCATGGATAGCGAGTTTCCCTTCATAGTCAATGGGGCTATATTTGAGCTACTCAGCTTACAAAGCAACACGAAAGTTATCTGCTTATATTAGGAAAAGCAGTAATGATATATTATGATGTGACTGGATGAGTCATTCCTGACATAGTTTGCCTGTGTCAGGCTATCATTTGTTAAATTCCACATCACAAACTTCAAACTAGCAATAAATTATGATTTTCAAGTAGGCTATTGAGCTGGAACCATTCCCATTCTGTTTCCTTACTCTACAGCAATAAGACCTAGAGCCTTGGCTGTGGAGACCAATGGGCATGGTGTGAGAGATCACTGCACTTCAGTCTCTGTGACACAAAAGCTTTTTTAAACAATAAACAGAACAGGACCAAAAATGGAATGTTTCAATATGGAACTGAATGACACACCAAAAGGTTCCTATTTGGGGCCACAAATATATCTGGCCTTGTGTCCCCAAAATATTTGTGGCCCCAAATAGGAACCTTTTGGTGTGTCATTCAGTTCCATATTGAAACATTCCATTTTTGGTCCTGTTCTGTTTATTGTTTATTGCCTTACATGTGTCACAGGGACTCTGTTGCTTGGTGTATTGTATATTATTTGACCTCTGAAGAAGGCTCTTGTGAGCCGAAACGCATCAGGTCATTCACTGTTCCTTTTTGTGTATTTGTAATTCTGGACATTTTATGAGGCTTTATTTGGGCCCCTACAAGGTTTTTAGATGTCTTGGAAATAAACACTCTTTTGTATACTTACTTATGTTTTTAACTTTTGGCCCTCAATAAGTTTTCTAAACTTCCTTTGGAGGTTTAAAAGGGGATTAGACATATTTATGGAGGATAAGTCTACTAGCCATGGTGACTAAAGGGAACCTCCATATTCAAAGGCAGTAAACCTCTAAATATCGATGCCAGGAGGCAACATTGGGATAGGCCTCAGCCTCTATGCCCTGTTTGTTGTCTCTCCAGGTTAACTGGTTGTTTACTATGTGAGATGGGATGCTGGACTATATGGACCACTGATCTTATCCAGCTGGTGGTTCTTATGACTTGGCACGCACTATCATCCTCGCATAGCCACTTGTTGAATTGATCCTTGGCACAAAAGTAGTTTACTAAAGAACTTTAGTGTGTATGAGACCCAATTCATGAATATAAGAAGGGCTGCAAGGTTTTTCATTATTTTTCATGTGGCTGTAAGTATTGGTAAAAATTACAGTGCAATCTTAAACAGAATTACACTCTTCTAAGCACACTGGCTTCAGTGGACTGCTTGGGGATTGCATTGTGAGTGCAAGAAATCAGGAGGAATTCTGGAATGTAACACACTGTTAATTTATTTCTGTTCGCACAAAGATAGTGATTTTTTTCTTTCTGTTCCTGCCCTGATATCTCAAAAGGTTATATTTTTACAATTCTTTACAGACCCAACTAGGATAATCACTGGACCAACTGATGCAGTGCCAAAGAAAGGTTCTACAATTCATTTATCATGCAGAGTAAAATATGATCCTACACTGAAACTTACAGTCTCCTGGCTCAAGGATGATAGCCCCCTGTACATAGGAAACAGGTTTGTGTCACCTTTACCTTTCTTAAGCTACAGGCTTGATGAATGGGAAGCCTAACCTTTTACTCCGCATCTCTGCAGGATGCAAGGAATGAATAAATCAAGTTGCCATTATAGTTGCTTCTGCTGGCATCCTACAGCTTAAAGATGGTTAGATGAGCAAGGCTCGCCAGAAAGAAGCACCACACCATTCTGGATTATGATAATGTACAGAATGTTTTGTAGTAGAAATAAACTTGTTCCGGAAACTGTTGCCATATCATTCTCAGATAGTAAGGGATGTGACCAGTTGGTAACAGTTGACATGTGTTATCTCTTGGAGGAAATTAAAAAGTTTATTGTATTATTGCTTATTCAGTAAGACTTTGCATTCACAAGTCTTAAGTTTTTTTTCATCTGCACTTTAAAAACAAATCATTAGAAATCATTGGCTTTTTTGTTTAAATGTTATGAATTTTGACCCATTTATTGAAATGGGGAATAGATCTATTTAGACCATTTTCATTTTGAGCTAGCTACTGAAAGACATTGGAGCTTTTCTATATGCATGCATGTGTGCATCCCAAAAGCGACAAGGAATTTAATAGAATGGGTTTCAAAACGTAAGCAGTTTTATAGCTTGACAAATGATTGAGGCTGATAAGGATTCATTAGATTGATCAAAGGAAGGGAGGAAGGTAAGGAAGTTACAGGGTGGAACTGGTCTGAAAACATCTGTATTTGTTGCACATACTTGAAAATGCTTCAGTAAATTTGAGGAGGCATTACAGCTTAACCTGTGGTTGGGGTTAGGCAAGCCTTGTGTTTTGAGGCAAGCTTTGTGCTTTTAATTCCAATGCTTCTGTTTTGAAAGGATGAAGAAGGATGAAGATGGCTTGACAATATATGGAGTGTCTGAAAAAGATCAAGGGTATTACACTTGTGTAGCCAGCACTGAGCTAGATAGAGACATTGCCAGAGCCCATCTCACTGTTCTAGGTAACGTCATCTTCCTCTCAAGTCTACTGAGTTTATGAGGTTTAGTCCACGGGACTAACATTGGTTAGCTTATTTCAACAAATTGTTCTTCCTGGAAAGACATATTAATTAAACCACATGCCTTAATTAACCATTTAATCCTTTGAAGCCGACATGTTACTATTAACAATTTGTAACTGCCTAATCTGTCATTAAAAAGTCAGCCAAGATCATTTCAGTGGCCTATCTCTAAAAACCTTTCTCTCTGAGCGTAAATCTCTGAACAGGCCTTGGCACCTTGGGGAGGAAATGCTCATGTCTGTTACTGTTGCCACTATGTAGCCAGCGTTCTCCTGGCACATGGAGATGATGGTGGTGGTGGTGATTGGAAAACAAAGTTGCCCTCTCCTCAGAGTTCTAGCAGCAGGTCTACTGCACTGATGCCTACCCCTGGGTTAGTCCTTGTGGCCAGATCTTAACATAACTTGGAGAAAACAGATCAAGATTGGTAGCCATGTTAGTCTGTCTGTAGCAGTAGAAAAGAGCAAGAGTCCAGTAGCACCTTAAAGACTAACAAAATATGTGGCAGGGTATGAGCTTTTGTGAGTCACTGTAACTCGTAAAAGCTCATACCCTGCCACATATTTTGTTAGTCTTTAAGGTGCTACTGGACTCTTGGAGAAAATAGCATCTGATTGTCACTAACTGAAACATTTCCTTAATCCAGAATCAAAGAAATGCAACCAATTTTTGTTCTTAACTCCCCAAGGCTAACCATACACTGAGCCAACCCTTCTGTTTCCTAGTCCTGTTTGAAGGCTACCTAGTGCAGTGATCCCCAACATGGCACCCATGGCCACCAATGGGTTTCTTGCCATCCATATGCTTCTTACCCAAAGCAAATAACCAGTCCTGGCTTTTCTTCAGCTCACTGGATCAAGGGATGCTTCAGGAATCCCCAGAAGGCATCACATTTGTGTCCACAGCACATAATCAGAAACAGCTGCTTCCTTTGGGGGGGAATTCTTGACTTACAACCTTCCAACACTTTGTGATTAGTCCCAGTATCCCATGGCAGCCACTTTGTGACTGGGCCTGGCCCCTATGGCAGCCATTTTGTGGTAAGAAGGAGGGAGGCTACAGAAAAAGAAGAAGAGAAGAGGTTAGATTTATACCCCGTCCTTCACTACCCAAAGGAGTCTCAGTGTGGCTTACAAACTCCTTTCCCTTCCCCTCCCCACAACAGACACCCTGTGAGGTAGGTGGGGCTGAGAGAGTTCTGACAGAGAGTACTCTTTTTTCAAGAACAGCTCTTGTCAGAACTATGGCTTGCCCAAGGTCATCCAGCAGGTGCAAGTGGAGGAGTGGGGACTCAAACCCAGTTCTCCCAGATTAGAGTCTCTGCAGCAATGACCAATGAAATCACAAACAAATTTGTAGTCAAAGCACGCTAAATAAATGCAACAACAATTATCTAGAAAGCAAAGTCAATAATAATGCCAAACTCATATATATATTTGTAGAATCACAATCATAATAAAGAACAATTATCCAAAAGTGGGTGGTAACAAACCCACAATAAGTCACAGCAGATCTCAGAAGCAGCAGACTTCCTTCATAAATAGAACAAGCATACCAAGAAAAAAAAATTGTTTATATAAATATCACATGTCCTTGAATTGAAGTCCAAACATCTATATATTGTGGCTTGTAGTAAATAAGTTCTGTTTTAAGTGGAAACTACGCCGTTCCGGGTAATATAATCAGCATTTCAGATCTATTCCTTCATCAGGTAAGTCTTCTGTAAAAAAACGATATATAAACAATACCAAGAAATGTTCTCACCTACAAAAATGCTATATGAATCATAACAAATGCTGGTCACACTCACTATTAACATACAATGAATATACATGTATACTTTTTATAGCAAATTCTAATTTTATGTTCAGCCATGCGTACCCTAATGGCACGCATACTAGAACCAACATACAAACTTTTACACGCACATTAAATTAAATACACAGATATTTTTTTGTGGAACAGCAGGTGAATTGATTCAATTGTATTTTAATATTCCTAATTTCTATATAGTCAGTTTCCCACAGTAATGGACAGATTGAACAGGATCCACATTTGTGGTGGCCTTTAATATTTGTTTCTCTTGGGGGAAGTTGATCAGCTCTAACTAATATATTCCTGAAACTTCGTGTTTTTCTGAAAACGACAGTAGGTAGCATTGCACAACCAGGTAAGTAACTAACAATCTTCCAATGTCTATGTATAATTTTCTTTATGGAATTTGCTAAACTTGTGTAATCCAAAGCACATTTAATTCTACTGTCTTTTTGAACTATCTTATCCTGGAACAACTCTTCTCTGCTGGAAACTTTGGTCCTTATCAAGCCGCAATTGATGACACAATCAGGGTAACGCCTTCGTGTAAACTGATGCACCAAATGTGTCACTTGGACAGAACAATTTCTTTCGATACTTGACTTCCGGGTAGCGCCACGGCGCCACAGGTGATTCTTGGGATGCTCCCAATTATCCCTGACCTTTCTTGCCCCCTTTGGAGCCCCCCCCCCCAGTCCACATGACTGCTCTGGGCTCCACCGGACCTCTCGGAGGGAGGTCAGGCAGCAGGAGACTTGTTCAGTCACCCCACAAATGGCAGTAAGCGGGAGAGACCGTTTCATCTCGAAGCAGGAGCAAGAAACGGAGCAAAACATGGTCGCCATGTTTTGCCGTAGCTGCGAACATTCTTTTTAGAGACTATTGGATTTATAACATAACATAACATACAGCAACGAAGACGTGAGTACATGTATTTTCAAGTATAAAATAGCGAAGACTTCCATTAAAATACCCCTCTTGAATGTTTCCAAATTTGAGAAGAAAGCGGCTGGGAAGAGAACGGGAGTAAAGATTGTTTGAACGACCTTGCGAGGGCAAAAAAATAACTTTATTTGTTGGAATTTACAACTAACAAGAGCAACGTTTATATGACATTTGCAACATACTACTCTATATAGACATTTGAATTTCAATGATTAATGTGATGGAATACAAGTGCGCAGCTGCATAAGAAAATGGCGTTAGTAGTGGATGTTGAGGAGGCAGAGGATCGGGAGAGCACAGAAATTGGGAATCTTACCTGGGAGCATTTCCAAAAAGTTTTGATAGATGAAGTTCAGCAAGTGGTTGAAGAAACTTGTAAGAATCTCTTTGAAAAACCTCAGAGTTTATATTTGGATTTGGAAAAAATAAGAAAGAGCTAATACACTCAGCAGAGCTCTGATGAAGAACAGGATTATTACCAAGGGAAGGGGTTACATGATTTACTCACGGAAAATATGGGAAGTGATATCAACCAAATGTGCAGCCTAAAAGAACCAACAAGCTACTTGTCAGAGTTGGAAATGGCAAAAGGAGGTTTTCAAAATCTCCCATTCGAGAAAACAACCAATGTGGCCAAAAAGAAAGCAAGGTGTCGTGTAAGGAAAGTCAGTAGTGGTAATAAAAGTTTGAAGACCGGCTCTCTGAAACCTAGATGGGAAAATCTGGAAATAAAACTTTACGTATACAAAGAGATAAGTCATTTAAACATGATTGTTAAAAAATAAATGCTACAGAAAATTAGGGGAAAAATATAAGAAATATGACTTGTGGCTTAGAGCATTTTCTGTATGTGTATACTATATTGCTACCTTAATAACAGGATGATGGGAAGCTAAATAATTATTTGTAACTTGGGAAAAAAATCCTCTTCTTGCTGCCTCAAATTTGTATTTGTATTTTTATTTTCTTTAACCTTCTGGATGTTGCTTAACATGATTTAAACTAGTTTTTAGTTGGGTAGCAATAGTAGTATTAGCATAAATAACCTACAAGAAGGCAAAACGGTGTAAAGACTTAGAAAAAAAGAGGTTACTGAATAAAAGACTAAAGTAACTGGTCAAGGAACTCTTTAAAGAGAATAGGTAAAAAAATAAACACATAGTGGTATTAATATAAAAAATTTACAGGTTAGCAAAGTAAGACATAAGGAAGCAGAAAAATGAAGAGAAAAAATGAGATTACTTGTGTAATCGGGTACAGTCACCGATTAAGTAGTTGTTAAAAGAAAACAAACAGGAAAATAAGTACTGCTTTGGCAAATTAAAGACGCAGACAACACGAGGGTAGCAGAACAAAAGGTTACTGTTACTGGATAAGTAGTTGTTGAAAGAGAATAGGTAAGAAAACAAGTATATAATGGTATTGATATAAGTAATCTACAGGATAACAAAGCAAGAAGTAAGGAAACGGAAAACTCAAGGTTATTTAAACATTTTGGCACAGCTATTAAGTAATTTTCAAAAGAAAATAGATAGAAAAGTAGGTATTATTTTGGTATACAGATAGATACAATTTTAAGCAGGGTTAAATAACTAACCTGTCTAGGTAGAGTGAAGGATGTTGGTTTCTTTTCAAAATTGTAATGATTTTACATGTATTTAGACTGACCAGAAATAACAGAATGTAAATAAATGTTAAGTTTGATTTGCCATTAGATTTGTAATTCTGACAAATCATGTATTTAGTTATCAGATTACTTGAATGGGTAACCCCTTCAGCTTGAAATACGCACTGAGCAGTAATTTGCCTTTGTTATTGTGTCAAGAGGAGGAAATTTATAACAAACGTGTTATGTTTGAATACTGTGTTGTGACACCAAATTTTTGTCTCATCCTTTTTATGTTTGAAAACCAATAAATATATTATATTAAAAAAGAACAGTTTCTTTCAAAGGTTGAATTTTTGCGGACCCGCAGAAATTGACCTATAGGTAAATTTTCTCTCATGTGATGTGGATGATTGGATTTAAACTGAAGGAATGAATTACTATCAGTTGACTTCACAAAAGTTTTTAATGCTAGACGATGGTCATTGAAACTTCTGCTCTTGCACTTTACTTGAATACTGTTCTAGCACTTTAGGATAACTACTATTTAATTAGTTACGATGTTTTATGAATTATTTTAACTGTATTTATATGTATTTTATGTAAGCCACCCTGAGCCTGCTTCAGCAGGGTGGGCAGGGTATAAATTGAATGAATGAATAAATAAATAAAAGTAGTGTCAAAAAAGTTGATTTGTACTAAACTATAGTCTCCTGTGAATTCAATGGCCAGATGTAAAGTATTAAACCAACATACTAGGTCCAAAATCTGACTAGCATCATTGTATAGAAGAATCACATCATATATAAAACGTTTGTAAAATGCTATAGGAGACTATAGTTTAGTACAAATCAACTTTTTGGACACTACTGTCTTTAAAACTAATGACCATTTAATTTAATGTGCATGTAAAAGTGTGTATGTTGGTTCTAGTATGCGTGCCATTAGGGTATGCATGGCTGAACATAAATCTAGAATTCGCTGTAAAAATTTAGATGTGCCATTGGCACAACATTTTAGAAATATGGCACATAAATATTATTTTTGATTTATTATTTTGGAACGTCTAGAGCCACATAGACATGCTTGGGTGGATACACACAAAATGTTATTG